AGGCCCAGTCAATTTGGAACTTACCAAGCAATCATTCCAAAATTTTGTATCAAAATGATGGATGAGACTTCTTGCCCTTTTACTGTTTTGGAGAGCTTTGAATCAAAGAAAGCTTTGCTTGTTATGAAAGCCTGCAAATCAAGCTTGTGTTCATATAAGTTTTTCAAAGTTATGAAAAATGTAGCAAATCTAGTAGCTCCATGCCTTATAATTTCTTTCCAGCCTTCTCTTTTTCTTAGCCAAGCTAGAATAAAGACATAATTGTAGATAAAAACTGTAACTTTTGAAGCTCTTTTCGCAAGATCTTGAATATGAGTAATGTTCCCAAAATCTCTAAGAATAAGATTTAAATAGTGAGCAGAACATGGAGACCAACAAATGTTACCAAACCATTCATGCAGTAATTCCCCTTCCTTTTTATAATTTGCAGCATTATCTGTTACAAGTTGTACAATATTTTCTAGCCCCACCCATTCAACAACTTTGCAAAATAATGAACATAATGTTTTGACATTCTTAGTAATATGAGAAGCATCTACAGATTTCAAGAATGCAACGCCCCTTGGACAGTAAACAAGAAAATTAATTAAAGTTCTATTCCTGTTATCTGTCCAACCATCTGCCATGAGTGTGCAACCAATTTCTTTCCAAGATCTTCTATATGAATCTATCAACAATTTACATTCCTCTTTATAATCTTGCAGAAGATTAACTCTCAACTTATGATAGGATGGCAACTTATAACCAAGGCCAATTGCAGCTATAGCATCAACAGCCTTCTGTGCAAAAGCAGAGTTTATAGCATTAAATGGAATGCAACTATCGTAAAATCATCTCCCAACTGCAAAATCAGCACGGTGTATGGCTTCTTTGGATGCCATTACACTTTTCAATGATGGTTGAGAACCAGGTTTAGTTCTTGGTGCAAAAAAGTTATCTATGTCATCTTTCTTTCTCTTCCCTTTATGAAGTCCTTCATGATATGCATCAGAGGCTTGTGACTTGGGAAGTGATGAAGAGCCTATTTCCTCATCCATATGTTCATCAACAAAAACTGTTGTGTTTTGCTCTAACTCCTTCTGGGTTTGTTGTTTTTTCTTGCCATTTTCTCTTATATTCTCTTGCATCTGATGACAAATGTCATGTGGAACTTTTTTGCACGAAGCTATGTTACCTCTTATCCCTGCTAGATGTTGTTTTATCCTATTAATTCCTCCACCTTTGTACACAATCCCACAATGTAGACATCTATATTATTTTTTACCATCTGAACCTTTACTTTCACTACAATGACCCCAAGCAATATCGATCTTTTCACGCACACTATGAGACGAAACTGTTGGTTGATCCATTCTGGATTTACAAAAAAAAAAAATCAATTTACATCATAGTCTATAATAAATCTCCAATAAGTCCATAACTAAATTAGCTTGAAATAGTTATCACACCAAAAATCTCCCATAAGTCAAATCTTTTCTACAGCAATACTATTAACACAATATGCAATTTAAATAGAAACAAGTGGAATCAAAGACAATCTTTGTTGTTGCACTTCAACAGAGGCTTCCTTGCCAAGGATTGACATGTATGATTTCAACTCTTGAAGCTTGAATTTAACAGCTTCAAGCTTTAAGCTACTATCAATATTGCCAGGGGCTTCCTTAAATTGGATATTAATACAAGTATACAACCATATCAGCATATACAAATACATCCATCTGCACTTAGATAACTAGTACAACAGCATTTTTTAGAAAATTCTATACAGGCACAAATGAGATCACAAACGATATAAACCAGAGTCCAACCTAGATATCAGTTATTGGCATCCAACAAATCTATGCTAACATTAGTGCCTTTCAAATTCAAGAGGGACCCAAAAAATTTTACAAATCATACCAAGCATAAATGGAGAAGAAATGAAATTCTATAAGCATAACGAAATTACAAACGAAATAAAGGTACAGTAAGCAACAAACTGAACAAATCATACCAAGCATAAATGGAGAAGAAATGCAGGCATATTGATACGATTTGGAGAATAAATGCAAGATTAAATGCGTAAAAAATTACTCCAAAAAACAGAAATTCAAGAACCTGGTGGCTGCGTCGGGATCGTCCAAGCTCGACGGGTCGAGTAGGAGGCCAGTCGAGTAGGAGGCCAAATGTAACTTCTCAGTTCTTCCCCAACGTGGTGTTCGCCGGCAGCTGGGAGGTCAGACAAGGAGAAGAAGTGAAGAAGTGTTCGCGTATCTGAGTATGGACCGAGTGACGAAATTTCGTTCGCGTATGCTAGGGCAGACGAGCGCTTTGCGTATCTAATACCGATACCCAGTTTATTTAAGACGTTCGATCGCTGATTAAGGGCTCAAATTAGAGCATTTATGGACCGGCCGATTTTTCCAGAACCTTCTGGTTCAGCGGTTAGCCGGTTCAATCGGGTTTTACCCGGTTATTAAATCACCCGGTTCCTTACTCATGCCAGACCGCCCGCCGGACCGGTTCGCGGTTGAACCGGCCGGTCCGGTCCGGTTTTGAAAACCTTGAGCAAAGTTATATAATTTCCCTTTTAAGTAATTATGCTTTTGTTATTATCCTCATTTATTTTCTATCATAGAGAAATTTTTTATGTGGCTTCCTTAACATAATTATAAAATCAAAAAAGTTTTGAAAAATAATGGTTGACTAGACTACAAGAAATGTTCAACAATATATGTATGTTGGGCAAGCGACATTTATGGATATGTGAGAGTGTTTTGGCTAATTTGTGTAGAGCTTGGGATATCCTTGAATATTTCAAGAAGAGAGAGAAAAACAAACAAAATTAACTTCTTATTAATGAGGCATAGGCATCTCCCCTCTTATAGGGGGATTTGTCTGACAAAGTGAGCATATATACTATTTGATAAAATAATATTTTTTTAAATTTTAAATATGTTTCAAATTTAGTGTATAAAGTTTCAATTTGTATTTGCAAAAAGGAACATACTACTTTGGAGCTTCATATGTGCTTGCATCAGCATTAGGAGGATCAATTGTGGGTTGACTCAAATCATGAAAGCCTACATAAGCATTAAAATCTTTAAACTGTAGTGTACATATTAACTTCTAATTAACTATATTTCATATGAGTATTCAATAATTCTATATTTTAATTAATTACTTTTTGGCATAACATAATTTATTGTGAGATTCCTTTAAATAGATTTGTGAGCTTTAGTTTGACCAATGTTAAAAGCTAAGGTTAAATGCCCAACTTACATTAGGAACCATAGGATCATTTGAAGGGTTTCAATCAAATAGCCATATCACCTATCTAAACCTCTTCTATAAGATTTAAATCATTAAAAGATAAAATACTAAACTGTTGTTGATCATTGGAATATGCAAGATTTTTCTTAAACCCTAGTCTATCCTTGTAGAATTATATTAGGTCAATTGATATTTAAACACAACAATTGAAAGAAATGCCCACATACAGCTTTCCTCTAGGGTAGGTATTCATAGGTTTATAATGACCTTATATAGTAAAATTAACATTTATTGAACTTTAATAGAACTTTTTAACCTAGATGAACTTAAATTAACCCATTTTCCCAGTTGATTAAATTAACTTTTTAAATCACCGTAGGAAAGTCCCAATTGATCAACTATAGTTATCTGACCAACTATTGTGTAATAATAACTTTGAGATGCACAAAGACAGATTTCTACAAGATTCTCTACTAGATCAATGCAATAAAAGAACAATAACTTTTTTTTATTTCAAACTTTAGGAGGAATGCATAAGTGATGATTCTATGGTTTAGGATCACAAGCTTATGCATATGAAACTTAATCTTCTAACTAAGTACACTTTTTGGATTACACTATTGAGAAATTCCTCAATATAAAGGTGGTTGCGCTAAAAAAGAAATTAATGCATGCATGCAAGTAATACTAGATGAGATGCAATCATAGACGGATGCTAAAATGCAAGATAAATTGTGAAGCTTCATGGAGTAGCAACAACGTTACCAATAAGAGTGAGTAGTTGAGGAATACGTAGGGGATATATATATATATTTCATATGTTAGTTTGGAGCGTTAAAAATAATTGAACATTTGATACAATAACCTTTTGAAAATATAATGGCATTTAAAATGAACTTTCTTGAATATATTTTCTTTTTTTTTTAGATAAATAGCTAATAATACATTATTTGGATGTGTTTTATAGACTAATTTTAGTATTTGTGTTATTGTGCTATTTTGGATAAGAAATTCCCGATGAATGATTATTTTTTAGTTTTTCTATGATTTTTTGGAGGATATTCAATTAGAAATGATGATACATGTCTTATAGCAAAAAATTGAAGAAAATGGAAGTAAAAAAAAATCTTTTGGTAGCAAAACTAGATGATAAGGGCCACCAGAATTACTTGTGGCATTTAAGCAAAATAGTTCGTTTAATATTCAGTGGATCAAATCACTAGTGCATCAATGATAATTTTGGTCGCTCTTATTCGCTGGTATTTCAACTCCAAGATTTTAGTTGTGGTGACTTATTCTCTGCTAGCTATAGTATTTCTCATGGGTTTTTTAATGAAAAAATCTAATTGACAGAACTGGTTTTTTGGTAAATATTTTTGCAGGGTATATAGCGTCAGATGATTATTCATAAAAAAATACATTAAAACTTTTTTTTAACAAAATTTAGTTTTTAATGCAAAAAAACTCCACAAAAAATTCTTATTTTTCATATAATGTTTATTTAATTATCTTCATTTTTAAGGATATTTAATTTGATAACAATTAGAAACAATGAAATATGAAATATCATGATGCGTCAGTTAACATACCTAACATTAACATTATTTAATTTTTAAATTTAAATTATGATATTATTATGGCATGTAAACAAGATATCAAATTCACAATAATATTTAGCATCACATTAACCATAACAAACTAGTATGACCTCAACATAAATTATTGGTGTGCTCATATATAGATACCCAACTCCATCGTCGTCACGATCAATCTCCACCACCATGGAGCTCGTGCTTCGTGATCTTGCAGTCGCCGTCCAGCTCGTGCTTAGAGATCAAGTCCTCATCGCCGCGATCAAAGATGATGAATAGGTCGTCGACAACGATGGCCTGGGAGAATGTCGCTCGGGGTTAGGATTTCTTCCTAGGAAAAAAGGCGGGTCCTGTTAGGTTGATAAGGACCCAAGGCGGGTCAGAATGTAACCCGTTTTGAAAAATGGGTTGGGTTCAGGTTAGGTTAGATAATATCGGGTCAGTCTCTAGTTGGACCTGAACCCGACTTGAAACCCAATTTTGACAGCCCTAACTATAAATTGTCTCATAAAAGTTAAAAACTAATGATAATTAAAAATAATAATAATAAATTCTTATTAAAATTTGAGTAACCGCATAAAATTCAGATGAAATAAAACAAAATAAAAACATTTGAACTACACAATATTACTGAAGCCGAGTAGCCGACCACGTCAGGCCTCATGTTGACCTCATCATGCATAGACCCTTTTCCCTCGTCATGCAACGAAGTTACTTAGTGCTTGATATCGATCACCGTCCATTGCTTCATCACCGGTCTTCCCTTCACATTTCTTGCAAGTACTTACATGAACAATATTTCAAAGGCAAGCGAAAGAAATTAGGAGGAATCCAACTAAAACTTGGCCACCTCATTGATAATAAAATAATAGAGAGAAATGATGGAGAAAATTAGGATCAGAAAGTGAGCCGTAAATGTCCTAAATTAAAATAGGTGGGGATAAAATAGGGTAAGAAATAGAGAAAAAATAGGCTAGCAAAGCCTTAATTTATTGTAATCGAGAATACAACTTAACCACTCTAAAAGGGATTTACTGATCTTAAAAAAGTCTAGCATTAGATCCCTTCACTATTCCCTATTGTCTTGTATTTATAGGGATTTGAGGGTCACTAAAAAGGCTACATATGGAAGGAAAATACGTGGGCTTCAGATGACGACCATATGACATTACGACAAGTTCAACGAGCGAGCAGTCATAAGAAGACCTCGGGGGTTTGGCATAGCTTTGCTGGTAGAGCAAGCTGAAGGGCAAGCCCTGATGGCGAATTCCCAAACCTAAGGT